CTGAGAAATGTATCTTTTTACTGCCTCGTTGGCAAAACTTTAGAAAGTTATACAAAATCAGAAAAAGAATGGCTACCAAGGGGGGAGTCTGGGATGTGGGCAGCCGTAATTGCTGAAACCTGGGATCACGTACACAGCAGTTTCTTCCACAAGAGATAATCACTGGCATCCTGGCAGATGGGTTCCAGACACCCAGTCTTCCCATTGGCAATATCAAATCATCCAGGGACCAACCTAACGAATTGGTTTCTACCAGAAACCCCTCCCTGTGACATATGTATGATGTATCTATGATGTATGCATGATGCTTCACCAGAGGTGTTCATGGGGAAAAGGGAAAACTTGTAAAAGAGGGAGCACCCCTTTGTTCAGGGCTTCATTCTGCTTCTCCCATGTGGTGGATGGAAATCTGTTGCAACAGTCTTTGAATAAAGACCAGGCCTACTGGCTGCTGTTTTGCTCCTATTTCCTTTTCTGGTGTCTTTGGCAATCCAAGTGAGCCCAGGAATTTTCCTATTACACTCCTTACCCAGTGGCCTCTGTCTGCTGTCCAGCGGAGTCCTCTCTGCCTCAGACGAATCACGATCCATTTCTGCCAACAGACCCTTTCCCTAAAACAGCAACAAAGATTCAAAACAGAGAATAGGAAGAAGAATCAGAAAAGGAATAGCAGAAGCAAAACCTTAAGGGTATCTGATATCCTTCACTGGATGTTTTCCAAAAAAGGATGAGCTTTTGGGATCCTCTCCCTCATGTTCAGAGTCCCTTGGGAGTATCCAGAGGAAAGTCTTTCTTACCTGCTGCTCTCCCTGCTTTCTCTCCTCTGCATGACTTAGGAGGAAACCTTCGGCGAAGGCCACTGCCTGGGAACTTGGAGATACCAAGTGCTAAAAATGAGACTTAACCTTTTTCTTGGATGAGGAGAACACTTTCAGCTCCGAAGTGCAGTTCAGGCGGTTCTGCTCCCAGGGATGTCAGGGACTGGTTGGTTGAGGAAGAGTGGCGGACCAATCAGACTGCTGCATTCTGGATCCTATTGTTCTAGGATTCAGCTCAGTACATAAGAGTCTGTCTACAAACTCTGTTAATAAATGAGATTTATTCATCAATCTGAATTGGGTTTAGTTGCATTATTGATTTATATATACTAGTGACTTTGTACCACTGTAACATTTTATATGCAACTGGGCATTTTTGGAATATATTTGTCTGTTGATGCTTTCATTTTCTGTACACTACTAATAGACATTTCTAATATATTAAATGGTACAGGAATTAACTAATCCATCAATCCACATCCTAACCCAAAGTGGCAAGCAGTGTAAGGACCTGAATTCATCATACAATTGCAGACCTCCTCCGACCTTGCCCCTCCTCCGTGGCTTTGCAGAGAGAGGAAGGGGGCAGGACCTGTTGCCCCATGACTTGGGGGTTCCTTCCACGCACGCGCTTAACTGCCCCTCCCACCGCTGCCTCCTTCTCTGCAGCCCCGCCCCCTTCTCCCCCCCACACCATGCAATCAGAGAGAGGAGACTCGCCAGATGCCAGAAGGTGTCCTGCAGCCAGCAGAGAGTTAACAGCCTTGCTCCTCTTACACTACAGGAAAGGACTGAGGAGGGAGGGCCTTTTGCTCTGGAGGACCTGCCCCCTGCCTTTATTTTCCTGTCCTCTCTAGGAATCCAGCTCAGTTCCCTTTAACGGTTTAACCCTTGCCCAGCCGAACGCGCCCAGCTCATGCTTCCCCTCCTCTCCAAAGTATCGCGCCCACCCAGAGAAGCTCTTTCGGGAGACTCTCTCGACTGGGTTCTGAGCTGCTCCTCCCTTGTCCAGAAACAAGAGGAACAGCTTCATGGAATCCTTGGATCCGTTGGTTCGGTTCCTCCCCTCCGGAGCAGAAGAAAACAAGCTTGCTCCATCTTCCAAGGCAGAGCCCTTGAGATATGGGAAGATGGCTCTCCTATCTCTCTCATTCAGCCAGATCTCAGTGAGTGGTTCCTGCCTTTTCTGTGACTGAAGAGAGGAGACGGTAGATCCATCCCAGGAAATATTCCTAGTTGTCAGGGGTTCAGGAGCAGAGGCAAGGGCAAGGGAGGAAACAGAGAGCGAGGGGGAGGAGGCAGAGGAGAAAATGAGTGATGACGACAACCCGAGATCTCCGAGTCTTTCCAGTGAATCAGACGATTCACAGGAAGGAGCACCAGTGGCCAGGGCAAAGGGGGAGACTAGGGGGACACCCCAGGAAGATAGAGCCAGAGGGGACTCAGAGGGGAGCAGTTGGAAATCGGGACCAGCGTCACCGCCAGAGAGCAGGGAAGAGGAAGGGCGCCAAGGATCAAGCGCTGGCAGCTCACAACAGGGGGGAGGGCACGAGTCAGGAGTGGCCACACCTCCATCGGGGAGCGAAGAAACGGTCAGACGGAAAGTGGCAGGTTGGGCGCGCGCGCCAAGTTCAAATGCACAGGAAGGTGACGCAGTGAGCAGCCCGGAAAGGGAGCCAGGTCCTAAAGCCCGGCGCAAGGAGACAGAAGGGTCCGGGGGTCAGCGTCAGAAGAGTCCCGGAAGGAAGAGACCCAGGGGGGCAGAGGGACCCAGAGAAGAACAGTCAGGCGGAAAAGGTGGAGTAAGGCTAGGGTATTAAGTTGGTGTACAGGGGGCGGAGATTCAGACGGAGCTTCGCCGGTCTCGTAGAGTTGCACGCAGCAGCTTGAGAATGGAAACTGTAACTCAATAAAGACTTTTATTTAATGATCGCTGGCTAGCGTGATCCTCTGTGAGCTAGGATCTGGAAGCGACTCTGACACTAGTGATTTTTAATGGCATTTTAGTTCCTGCTCTTTATTGTATTATAGTTTATATTCTGTGGCGTATGATAAAATACAATTTGTAATCAATTAAAGAAGCAATACAATCATGCAGCATCTAGTGCAGAACATGGCTAAGGCTACAAGCTGAACAAAACAATTCAGTGGTCTGCTAAATTCCCTGGGGGAGGGGCGTTTGGAGACCCCTGCCATACGCTGCTTCGAGGACTGTGGCTGGAAAGTGGCATGCAAACCTTCTCCATGTATCCTTACACCTCTGCCCAGATGTGGGCCAGGATCCGTGTGAGTCAAATGGGCCTCTTCTCCCACCCCAGATGGAGGGGGTGTCCTCCTGGCTGAAGTGAAGCAGGTCTGGGTGTGATCAGGGCCTGGTGGGCGACTGTCTGGGAACCCCAGTCCCTTCCAGACCAGAAGACAAGAAGAGCCCTGCTGAATCAGACCAGGGGACCTCCCTGCAGACCTGGTGCAAACTAATCTGGCTGAATGCTCAATATGCATGTCATTGCCCTATTCTACTTCCAGGGCCAGAAGCAAGAAGAGTCCAGATTACAAGTTAAATGAATGTGAAATATTTATTGACATAACTGCATACAAATGGTGACAATTTAGAAACTCAGAAAGTAAATGGGGAAAGCATATTATGAAAAGCACTATGTCGGTGTGGAATATAAGAGAATTGTTATATTATTTATTACATTTGTATACCGTCCTTCATCTGAAGATCTCAGGGCAGTTCACATCAAAAAAAGACAAGATAAAAAACAAAATACATAATGGAAACAAAAACAAAACAACAACAGCCCCACCCCACCCCCATACAAATACATTTTAAAGGATATATAGGATGTTAATCAGCCCAATGCCTGATTGAAGAGAAATGTTCATTCATACACACACAACAACAAACACAACAAACAAAATTATACACAACAACATCAAATCCAGATTCTCCTAATCCTGTGACTTCCCTCCTCTCTGCTTCCTTAAATTGCCTTTTCAATTACATGTCATTTCTACTCCAAATTATTTTTTCTACCTCAAATTTCCTATATTCTAAAAATTACAAGTGTTCTTAAAATCCTACCAATGTATTAACCTGTTTACAATACTTTTGCAAATACGCAATAAACATTTCCCATTCTTTTAAAAATTTCTTATCATCTTGATTTCTGAGCTGTCCGGTTAGTTTTGCCATTTCAGCCTAGTCCATTAACTTGGTTTGCCAATCTTCTTTGGTCAGAACTGCTTCTTCTTTCCATATTTGGGCTAACTGTATCCAGGCGGCCGTCATAGCATACATAAACATTTTTTACTGGTCTTTTGGAATCTCCGCTCCTACAATACCTAATAAAAAGGCTTCTGGGTTTTTTTAACAAAGGTTACTCTGAACATTTTTTTCATTTCATTATAAACCATTCCCCCCCAAAAAAACTTACCTTCCTGCATTCCCACCACATATGATAAAACATACAAAACATACCCTCTGTTTCTTTACATTTCCAACACTTATTAGATCCTATTATTTCCCTTGATCTGGACACTAGACTTCTGTTGATGCAGCCTAGAATAGCATTAGCTTTTTTTCCTGATGCATGACACTATTGACTCATTCGAAATAAATAAATAAATTGTCCAGTAGCACCTTAGAGACCAACTAAGTTTGTTCTGGGTATAAGCTTTCGTGTGCATGCACACTTCCTCAGATACAATTCTTCAAATTATATTGACTCCAATCTATTGTCCTCCAATCTGTTATGGTCAATTTCTTTGATAATGTGAAGTTGCTCCTATAGTTAAAACAGGAATAGGATGTTGCTTCCTTTGTTTATATGGTTCACAGATATATTTATTTTCAAAACCAATTTACAATGCATTTTATACACTAAAAACACAACGCAACAGCAAACTGCACACAATAATACAACAAAACACAACAAATCAGGCTTTAAAATTGATCAGCAATAGTTTCAGCAGCTGCCATGCAGTGTTGGGTTCTTATTGTTAATTAATTTATTTTGTACAGAATATATTTTGATATGTTTCTATTCTGTATTTTGTGTGTGTAGCTATATAGGTATAGATAGATTCGAATGTGGGATGAAAGCATCCAAAATGTTTAGCAAAGGGTTAACGCTATAGCTTTTCAAGAAAGAATTCTGTGATGTCATATGCCTTCTGCCAGAGGCAGTGATGTCACTTGGGGCAGCTATGGCAGTAATGAGCAGTAGATGTCTTCAGTTCTGCCTCAGAGTTTGTCCATCTGTAACAGTTTTTGCCTTAGATACAAATGTATGTAAAATGTTTTAGCAACATAAGCAACACCTCCCTGCCTTGTACATTTAATCTAACAAGTGCAAGTACACTGAGTAAAAATTACGGTATTTGTTATTTAAACTTTCAAAAGAGTGTATCTTGTGTAATTCCCACAATATTATATAGGTATATATAGACTCCTTTAGAAGGTAGCAGACTTTCCTTCCTTGGACCTTTTCAAACAGAGGTTGGATGGCCATCTGTCATACATTGCAGGGACCAGATGACCCTCAGGGTCCCCTCCAACTCTACAATTCTAATACATGCATGCATGAATGCATACTTCAAAGTACATGGGTCCCAATTAATGCAGGGCTTTTAACACTAGTATTAACTGGGACCCAAAATGCCTCTCATGTTTCATTGTACTGTATACTCAGGGAAAGATTTTCAATAGAAAGAGCTGCAGTTTCTTTGATAAGGTGCACAGATAAACCACTCAAACTTAATTCTGCAAATACCCTTTCCTTTATGGGAAAAGTTAATATAGCTTCAAATGTCACATTTTCATGAACTGCCATGAAGATTCTCTTGAGAGCACTGAGCTTGAGCCTCTTTCACTGCCTCTCCTTTCCTGGGACTTGGAGCTTCCCCTGCTTCAGATATGATACTTGATGTCCTAAGAATACATCTGCAACATCTACAGTCACACCAGTTGCCAGGAAAGCTCTGCAACTAGGATCCCATCCACCTGAAACTCCAACAGATGTCGTATAAAGCAAAAATAAATATTAAAAAGAAGGAAAGATATTGGTTAAGGGATCTTTACCTGGTCAGTCTCTTTCTCAATTCTGGAGAGTCAGGAACACTTGTCTTTAATTTCATGCCCAGAAACAAGAGCCAGATCAAAGAGAAAGGCTGATCCAGCATGCTTCATTGCTTAGGCCAACTCCCAAGGCTATTGATCCAAATGAGAGGTTGCAGAGAGCTGCTCTGCTTATGTCAGGGAACAGGCACACAAAGAAAGCAGTCCTTATTTCTTACATACTCTGGCTGGGCAAGAAAGCCCAGTTGCAAGCATCCCCCCCTCCCAAAAAAGAAACAGGTTTCTAACACACACACCCATGGGGGTGGGATTTATTTACTTCAGGTATGCCCTGGGGTAAAATCCCCAAATAAGCTCAGCAATTTTGGTTGGCCCTCACGCATGTTCACTTCATCAAATCTGGCCCTCTTTGAAAAAAGTTTGGGCACCCTTGATTTACTTCTATTGGAATAAATATTTCTATTGAATAAAATACCACTTGATGGTAACTGGTAACAAAACAGAAAAGTTAAAATTATCAATAAAAAACATTTAAACAGCAATATTAAAATTAAAATCATAAATACATTAAAACTAATAGCATAAGATTAAAGCACATCAACTTCTATGCATCTAGAAAGGATTGCCTGAAGAAAGCATAGAGCCACGGTGCCTGTGTAACATCAAGAGGCAGAGAGAGATTTCATTTCAGACGTGATGCTGCATTGAGAATAACTCCAACTTTCTCTGAGAGCCAGGCTCACCAGGAGTCTCTGGAGAATTCATGTTTTTCTGAAGATCCTTGGGAGCCCTGAGGAGGGCTTGACAGCTTACACCTTAGTATACCAACAGGATATGTAACCAGAACCTCTTTTAACACTCACGTGGAAATGATTTCTCCCCATGGTGAATACTTTGATTGCTATGGAAGTTTGTGCTTGTATTAAAGCCCTTTCTACATTCAAAACACTGTGTCATAGAGGAGTGGTGGGAGGCATCAGCTGGGGAACCCCCAAGGGAAGATAGCTCAGACCCTGGGGACTGGCGGTGGGACGATGATGAGCAGCCAGAGAGAGAAGCGAAAGCAGACTTGGGGAAGGAGGTGTCAGAAGCTGAAGTGCTAACAGGGTTTAGTGAGCAGGAAGACTCTGTGGCAGAGAGCAGTCCAGAACCAGAGGCAGAAACTAAAGCAGGAGAGGAGCGAGACCAAGAGGAAGAGATGAGTCAGGCTGGTGGAAAAAACAGGGAGTCTCTACTCTACCGCTGATCTTCTAGGACCAGAAAAGTAGTGATGAGGGAGGAGCAGAGACAGACAAGGCAAAGAAATCTCAGATTGTTTGGGAAGGAACCGGGGCAGGAGGAGACTTAAGGAACTGTGGGAAGGTGGGGACCTTAGGTCCTCACAACTGCTTCATTGGGTCAAGAACTAATGGAAAGAGTTGCTGTGCTCACTAGGTTTGGCCTCCTGAGCTGTTTTATTTCTTTGAATAGAGAGTTAACTTCACTGACACCGTGTGAGTTATTGATGACCTGCTCCTGACACCCACCCTCACACCCTGATATTTCTCTCCTGTATGATTTCTTTGATGGGAAGTGAGAGTGGAGCTGTGACTGAAGCTCTTTCCACATTCCACACACTTATATGGTTTCTCCCCTGTATGAATTCTTTGATGGGAAGTGAGACTTTCCTTCTGACTGAAGCTCTTTCCACATGTTTGGCATTTAAAAGGTTTCTCCCCACTGTGAATTCTCTGATGTCGACGAAAGTTTGTGCTTGTATTAAAGCTCTTCCCACATTCCAAACATTTATATTGTTCCTCACCTCTGTGAATTCTTTCATGTGAAGTGAGACTTTCCTTCCGACGGAAGCTCTTGCCACACTCTTGGCATTGAAAAGGTTTCTCCCCTGTATGAATTCTTTGATGGGCAGTGAGATGGGCCCTCTTACTGAAGCTCTTTCCACACTCTTGGCATTGAAAAGGTTTCTCCCCTGTATGAATTCTTTGATGGGCAGTGAGATGGGACCTCTGACTGAAGCTCTTTCCACATTCCAAGCACTGATTGGGTTTCTCTCCAGTGTGGATTCTCTGATGGCGATGAAAGTTTGTGCTTGTATAAAAGCTCTTCCCACATTCAAAGCACTGATGTGGTTTCTTCCCTGTATGAATTCTTTGATGGGAATTGAGGCTTTCCTTCTGGGTGAAGCGCTTTCCACATTCCACGCACTGATAAGGTTTCTCCCCTGTATGAATTCTTTGATGAGAAATGAGATGGGCGTTCCGACTGAAACTCTTTCCACATTCCACACACTGGTGTGGTTTCTCCCCCATATGAATTCTGTTATGGGAAGTGAGACTTTCCTTCTTACTGAAGCTCTTCCTACATTCCAAGCACTGATAAGGTTTCTTCCTTGTATGAATTCTTTGATAAGAAGTGAGATGGCTGCTCTGATTGAAGCTCTCTCCACACTCCAAATATTTATGTGGTTTCTCCACTGTGCGGATGTTGTCATGATCTCCCTTGTTTTTCTTTTCCAATTCATCACCACCTGTAACAAAGACAGAAATGGATTAGAGCCTAAGGAAGAAATGGAGCTCCAAATACAGTGGTACCTCAGGTTAAGTATTTAATTTGTTCCGGAGGTCCGTTCTTAATGTGAAACTGTTCTTAACTTGAAGCACCACTTTAGCTAATGGGGCTTTCCGCTGCTGCCGTGCCGCTGGAACACGATTTCTGTTATCATCCTGAAGCAAAGTTCTTAACCCAAGGTACTATTTCTGGGTTAGTGGGGTCTGTAACCTGAAGCGTGTGTAACCTGAAGCGTATGTAACCCAAGGTACCCCTGTACTGAATAATGCTCATTAATGCTTGTGATAGAGGGTGAAGTGAAGGGAGTTAGATGTGACACCTTCCTACAGGGTTCTCTGCCTTTGAGATTCAAAAAACCTGGCTCTTTTCTGAGGTGGATTTTATTTGGTCCAACCATGGAATCTGCTCCTTCTTCATTGTCAGACGTCTCTTTGGTCAATCAAAAATGGACACAAGCAGAAGCGAAGGCAAAAAACCCGACAGAAACCATTTCAACTTCCCTAACTATTGTGAAGCCAACATTTTAAAAGTCTTGGTCAGTTCGGGCAGCACAGCCTACAGTTAAAAAGGCATAACTGGAGGAAGAATATTCACAGACAAAACAGTCAAAAGCCCTCCATTCAAGGTTTCCTGTGGGGATGTCAGAATCTCAGGTGCTGTAGGTCGCAACGTTGAGCTCTATCAAAACATGGGAGGTTTGTCACATACAGATAGGGATTGAATTTCAGAACAGATATTATGATCTAACAGGGAGCTTTACCAAGAGAGGCCATGATCCCATTATTCTCCTCCATGACTTCCTGATGTAGAGCTCTCTGGTCAGGGTCTAGCAACGCCCACTCCTCGTCTGTGAAATGAACAGTGACATCTTCAAAGTACAGTGAACCCTGAAAGAAAAAGAATGTCCTCCTCTCAGACAGCATAAAGACTAGTTGATACACATTGTTCTGTTGTTTTAATTGGATTTTGTTGCTGCACAATTCAAGTGTGGATGCATCTTTTAATGTCTTAATGGAATTATTTTATTGTGTATATTTGGAGGGGACCTTGCAGATGCCCTAAAGCCAAGTTCAAGAGGAACAGTGGGCAGGGGAAGAGGTAAGAGACAGGGGGAAATGCCATGGAGCAACTGATGAGGCTGGCTAGGTGAATCCAGGCCACTGTTTTTTATGGTACGTTATTTTCTTAGAAGCCTATTTTAGCATTCACTGATAAACATGGAAAGAAGACTGCAACGACTGATAAATAATGCTAGTGACATTCAGAAGGAGAGTTAGGACAAAGTAGCTGTTTGTTTTTCTCAGCACATAAACATTCTCTAGTGGTATATTCAGCCTTTGTTAAGGGAAGCTTTGACAGAAGGCAAGAGGATAAGAGAGATTCATTCAGGGGCAGAACCACCCTGGCTGCCCCACCCCTCCTCCTCTTTCACCACAAGGCTCCTTCCCCCTACCTGATCTGTTTCCACAGCCACTGCTTCCCTTCCGCCACCATGAAAAGATGATCTTGTCAGCATCCTTCTTTTACCTGTGAGAGACAAAGGGAAGTGGGAAGCCAGGAGGGCATAATGCTTCTCCCCTGCTGAGTGCATTTTGATGTTTGTACCCATTTCATATATTAGTTGGCCCCAAGTGCTTTCCCCAAAAGATTCAAAGAACCCACAGATAGTTTCAGAAGCGATAGAATGTGAATAAACGGAGAATGAACTCCTTCCTCCTTACCCAGCGGCCTCTCTCTGGTGTCCAACAAAGTCCGCTCTGCTTCAGAGGAATCCAGGCCACTTTCTGCAAAGATAATCCTTCCCTAAAACAGCAAAAAGGATTCAAAACAGAGAATGGGGAGAAGGATAAGAAAAGGAATCGCAGAGATAAAATGTAAGGTTATCTTATATACTTCCTTGGATGGTTTCCAAAAAGGGGTGCATAGTTACTAGAGCATTTTGGGATACTCTCCCTCCTGTTCACAGCCCTTTGGGGTATCCAGAGGAAAGTTTCTCTCACCTGCTTCTCCGCCTGCTTCCTCTCCTCCACCTGACTCAGGAGAAAACCTTCGGCCAGGGCCACTGCCTGGGAACTGGTCTCTGCTCCGCATTCCCTCACCCAGCTCTCCATCTCCGCTGGAAGGACAGCCAGGAACTGCTCCAGGATCACCAGGTCCAGCATCTCAGCTTTCGTGTGCCTTTCTGGCTTCAGCCACTGACAACAGAGGTGGTAGAGTCGGCTGCAAACTTCTCGAGGTCCTTTGGCCTCTTGGTAGCAGAACTGCCTGAACTGCTGGCTCTGCGCCTCTGAGCGAAGGGTGTCCTCCTCACTCAGAATCTTCTGCATGGAGTTTTTCCAGAATCCCCCACTGCTCCCAGTTTCCATGGCATGGCCTCTTCCTGCTTCAGGGCCTGCTAAGTATTGCTTATCCGTCTGTGCTTTCAGGAAGCCTTCTGGAGATCGAAAGGAATTCCATTTTTCTTCTGCCATGTTCTGTCTGTCCAAATTAGAGGTGCTGGCAAATGCTACAAAGCAAACACATTGTTCTGTTATCAGTGCTATTTTTCTAGAAAAAGAGGTGCTGGAACTCACTGTGAACACCTCCCTCCTTCTCTAAGAATGACAATGGCACCCACCTGAGAGGTGCCAGAATGGAGTTCTAGTGAGTTCTGGCCACAAAAAAAGCCCTGTGTATTATAAAATGGACACAGTGTCAGGAGAAAATAGAGTTTCCCTGGATGAGTCTTGCTAGGAACCAGAGCTGGACAGCACCACAGCCCACACTCTCAGCTTTCTTTAAGGAAAAAAAAGGAAAGAGGGTGAAGTAAGCCTCTTGCCCTCCTAGAAGGCTGGTCCAAAATGCAGAAGCCCTATTATGGGCTGGGTTTCCTCTCTTTATTAATGGCAGTTCTATCTCACCACTTTTTTCTCCAAGGTGCTCAAAGTGGCATCCATGGATCTACCCCACCTCACTGAATCCCCACAACTACCCTTGAGAACAGTTGCATTGGTTGTCAGTTCCTTTGCGGGTCCAATTTTTGTGTTCTGGGTGGGGTTGCGGGAGCTGAACACTCACCTTCATCCTTCCCTGTAGCCTTGGGACCCCCATCTCCCCCCCCCCCCATGCACCCTATAGCAGAAGAGAGAAGAGACTCACCAGATCCCAGAAAGTGCAGAGCAGAGAGACAACAGCTGCCCCCTCCGCAGCCCCCCCCCCTTGCAGGAAGGGACGTGAGAAGGCTTTGGCTCTGGAGGATCTGCCCCCGCCCTTATTTCCTGTCCTGTCTAGGAATCCAGTTCAGTTCCTTTTAACCCTTTCAAAGCCAAGCATATAAAGAATTGCTTCTCTCTCCCTCTGTGCTCTCTCTCTCTCTCTCTCGCAGGAACCCAGGAGGAGCCATATGTGTTGCGCACACCCAGAGATGTTTTATTTTGGGGGATCCTCTTGGCTGACGTGCTGTGCTGCTCCTTCCGTGGAAACAGAAACAGGCAGAGCAGCATGCAGGGGAAAAGGCTTTGCGAGAAGCAGGAAACTCCATCCTGGAATCATAGGACTGGAGGATTGGACAGGTCCTGAGGGTCATCTAGTCCAACCCCCTGCAATGCAGGAATGTCGGCTAAAGCATCCAGGATAGAGGGCCATCTGCTTAAGAACCTCCAAGGAAGGAGATCCCATCACCTTCTTCCCATCAAACAGCTTTCCTGGTGTTTACTTGCAATCTCTTTTCCTCTCACTTGAAGTCACTGCTTTGGGTCCTCCCCTCCAGAGCAGGAGAACGCAATCTTGCCCCATCTTCCATGGGAGAGTGCTTGAGATATATGAAGGTGGCCATCATTCAATCAGATATCAACTGAGTGTTGAGTAGGATGACACTTTCTTCCTGCCTTTTCTGTGATTGAAGATGGGAGACGGCAGAATCATAGAAGCATAGAATTGTAGAGTTAGAAGGGACCACAAGGGTCATCTAGTCCAAGGACAGAGAAAATAATAATTTCAGAGAACTGTATATTTGATGGTTTCATTTTCTTTTGAGTCTATGGCCTAGCTAAAATGAAGAGGCCTGGACCTGTTTTGTTTCAGCACAGAACTAGTTGCTTTTAGGTACTGTACACAGTGAATGTTCGTTCCAGAGCACTGAAAAGAATAAACTGTTAGACTCTATGATGGCCATTGTATGCATGAAACGAGAATCAGCTAGGCATGGCAGTTGTGATTAATATTGAATTGTTTTGTAGACAGATGAAAAAGGATATTGAGAGACATTTAATGAATAGGAAAATTAGTCAAAGTCTAAACAGGGAAGGACACTGAGATGGGGGCTGGTTTGAACTAGGTGATTTTGATTGATTCACGGTGGCGACACTAGGTTGCGACTATTTAGGTTGCTGTGATCCTTTGACTGTTAAATAGAAATCATTTGTAACATGGAAGTGTATTAAAGTGTGGATCTGAAGAAGTGTGCATGCACACGGAAGTTCACACCAATAACAAACTTAGTTGGTCTTTAAGGTGCTACTGGAAGGAATTTTTTTAATTAAAAACATTGCTTTGGATGTGGTTCTTTGCAGCCTTCTTATTTTTGAGGCTGTCCCTAGGCACATTTGTATTTCAATAAAAGCCTGTCTTTTCACTTGGAGCTTGCATCCTTTTCTGTTGGGTTTCTGGGTGGGATACCTCCAGTCTAGGAACCACTTTTAAATTTCTCCGTTTCATGTTAAAAGTGGGATTGACTGATACACCACAGAGTCTCAGGAACTGGATTGAAGTGGGGAGACTGTCACTGGCAGAGGTGCCTCAATAATAATAATAATAATAATAATAATAAAAATTATTTATTATTTATACCCCGCCCATCTGGCTGGGTTTCCCCAGCCACTCTGGGCGGCTTCCAACTGAATATTAAAAACAGTACAGCAAAATAACCAAAATTTTAAAATCTCCTCCTTTGCCTGTCCTGCACTCAACATTCAGCACTGGTGTCTTTGAGGCTTGTGTGGATGTATGAGTTTTAACCCCTATGCTATTTATTGCAGGCTTTAACTGAAAATTTCTTTAATTTATAATAATAATAATAAAATTATTTATTATTTATACCCCGCCCATCTGGCTGGGTTTCCCCAGCCACTCTGGGCGGCTTCCAACTGAATATTAAAAACAGTACAGCAAAATAACCAAAATTTTAAAATCTCCTCCTTTGCCTGTCCTGCACTCAACATTCAGCACTGGCGTCTTTGAGGCTTGTGTGGATGTATGAGTTTTAACCCCTATGCTATTTATTGCAGGCTTTAACTGAAAATTTCTTTAATTTTGTTTTACAAGTTATTTTTGAGGTGGTTTGCTGGTTTTATTGAAATAAGGTTTTGTTGTTGCTGGTTATATTGTTATTGCCAGATATGCTGGGTGGTTGCAGCCAAAAAATATACAGGGGAATTTTGTGTTGTCCTTATTTGTTTTGTTTTGTTTGTATGAATGCCGAATGAGAGTGATGGTCTCTGAAAATCTTGTTGATCAGGTCAGGAAGGAAGGTGAGTCCAGTTGCCCAGCCAAGTGTTGTGAGGTGAGGTCAAAAGGAAGGGGGCTCAGTGGAATTCTGTGAGTCATTTTTATCAGTAAGGGTATGAGCCTATTGTGTTGGTGGAAATCTGCTTAGACTTGCTTTGAGACCTGGTTCCCTGGCATTGTCACCAGAGACACCACACAAAGGATGCCCTACACAATCCTTTCCTAAGTGTGATGGCTGCCCTGGTACCTTTTCCCCAGTTCCAAAGCAATGAACCTGCTTACTGGAGTTTGGTGTGACACACTAAGAGACTCTGTTCCTGGCATTGCGTTTCTGAACCTCGTTCACCCAGGACACCTCTAAAATAGTTCCACTGCAATGAAATAAATTTCAGGGAAGCATCCTTTGGTTTGAATGAGTTTCCCATTTATGAATCCATTGCTGTGGAACAATGCTTAAAGCAGCATCACAGACGAAAATTCACAGCAATGGATTCAGGGAAGAATCCTTGAGTACCAGTGGATTGAAGGATTGAAGTATGTGTCTGGAATGGTAGTGGTTGCTTAAATGGTAGTGGTTGCTTAAATGGTTCCATCACTAAGTCTTGGACAGGCTGATCTATTGTTTTGTTTATCTGCTATTTGTATGTGGTCTCTTTTGTCTGCTTCTTTTGTTAATTTTATAGGGATGTGGGTGGCACTGTGGCCTAAACCACTGAGTCTCTTGGGCTTGCCAATTGTAAGGACGGCAGTTCAAATCTGTGTGCCAGAGTGAGCTCCCCTTGCCCTTTCGCAGCTCCTACCAACCTAGCTGTTCAAAAGCATGCCAGTGCAAGCAGATAAATAGGCACCACTGTGGCAGGAAGGTAAATGGTTTTCCATGTGCTTTGGCACTCGTCGCATTGTCTCCCTCGGCCTGAAAGCAGAGATGAACATCGTACCCCATAGTCGCCTTTGACTGGACTTAACTGTCCAGGGGTCCTTTACCTTTACCTTACCTTTGTGAATTTATGTAAAAATCAGGGTTCAAAGTTTGATCCTTGTCAAATTTCCACATAGAAAATTGTGTCAAGATTAGTAAATATAATTCTCTAGAAAACTTCAAAAAGCAATTAAGTTGTATAAAATATGCCCTGTTATGGTTGTTTTATCCTATATCTACACTCTATTCCCAGCTCCTTAATTTCCCTCTCAACCTCTTCCTTTTTTTCTCCCAGTGTTTCTCCCTCTAACATCCAAAGCCTGCCCAAGCCTGCCCTGGATTTTATTTACCATAAATTAACTAATTACAGATCAGAAATCTGACTTTTCCAAGGAAGCACCTTCTTTCACGGAACTGTCTGATACTATTGAATATTGTGGGTCCCCAGTTTGAAATGTAATAAATGGGTGGCTAAAGGCAAAATTCTTTTAATTCACTTGTAAATGCAGGAAACCTCCCCCAGTGTATCACAGTGGTTTTTTGCCCTGGGGAGCAGGCAGAAGCCAGAAAGCCCCTGAAATGCAGGAATCTTGTGCAATGCGGGACTCAAACCTACAACTCTGATATTAAGCCTCTTAATA